TTCGTCGATGCCACGCCAATCCCTGTGCCCGCACAGACGTCCAGGGCAACGTCACACTCCCTGGCCAAGGTCGAGTCCATCTCCTAGTTCACTGTTGGGAGAATTTTGAAAATTTGTTTTTTGTTCCTTATTGGGTTTTAAGTACCCTTACAAATGCAAAATGTTACCCAACTATGACAGAGTTTCGTTCACAATGGCGATTGTGAGAACTGAGTTGCCATTGGGACTGCTCCTCACACGGCGAAGGGCTTCAACTGCATCAGTTGTCTCTCCCGACATTGACACCACCACCAGAGCGTCCCCTGTGCGCAAAGTTGGCTCACGGTACCTGAATTCTGATGCATACTGCGACTCCACTGGAATGCGCGCCATGGTTTCGATCTGGTACTCCGCCAAAAGAGCTGCATGCCAGGATGTACCGCAGCCAATCACTGTGAGTCGGTTGCAAAAGCCCTTCTCGGATACTTGGCTTTCAGAGCAGGCCGCAAGGATCTGCAGTGGGGTTTGGCCACCTAGGCCATGGCACTTAGGCAGCGGAGTTTGAAGGCCTGGGATCTTGATCTTGCCATCTTGAACATGTGACTTAATCAGCTGCCTTAGTGCCCGTGGTGTCTCCCAGATGTCACTCAGCATGCCCTTGGCCGAGATCCGATCTGCAATCTGCAGGGGTGCGTGCATTGATGTCGCTCTGTCTTCGCCCCCGGGTGCCATGGCTGGCAGCTAGACCTAGTCCTGAAGTGAAGCGGCTCTTGACATCTTTGAAGTGAATCCACCGCACTCTTCTGCAAAGGGCCAGCATGTGCAGAGAAATGCTTAGAGTCAAAAGCTACTCGCCTCTATCTTGCGCTGCAACTGGATACGACTTCTTGAGACATGTCTAAAAAAACTCAAATGTCTAGAAAAGTCGTATCCGGATGCTTTTTTTGTTGAAGCCGAGCGTCCCGTGTCCGCCGCAGGAGGCAGGTTCAAGGAGTCGCGCACAAGCTGCTCTAGAAGCATCTGCTCCTGTGACCACGGGTGCCAAGGGTGCCATGAATGCGGGTGTAGGGTTTAGGGTTTAGGGTTTAGGGTTTAGGGTTTAGGGTTTAGGGTTTAGGGTTTAGGGTTTAGGGTTTAGGGTTTAGGGATCAAGTGCCCCTGTCCCTCTTGTCCCTGCTGTCCCTCCTGCCTCGGCAGCACGCGTCTCTTGAGCCGTGATCCAGTTCCTTGAGCCACCCGAAATCTTCGTGACACTAAGTCTGTGGTTGTCTCAAAAGTATGGGGGTTTGCGATCTTCGGGGTACCTTATTTGGGGTCCTTATTATAAGGGAATCCTATGTGGGGGTCTATATTAGGGTCGGAAACCCCCATATGGTTGCCTCAAAATTATGATCCCTTTTGGGGGTACCCTAAATATTAGGTGCCGTACTATAAGAGGGATCCAAAAAAGGGGCCATAATTTTGACAACCACCTAAGTGTGGAACCAAACCATTTGGCAAGTTGGCTTGAAAGCATTAGCCTTGGCAAACCTGACGAATGACCACTTGTCATCACCCGACATCGGAGCAAGTCGCCATCAAAATGAAGCTGAATCAAGCTTGGTGTCGCAATGTGTTCCGTCTGGCTGGCCTCAAGAATGCGAACATAACTAAGGTAGGTTTGGGTGCCCAACAGAAAGTGGATTTTTTGGCTTCATAAGGATTGCATAAGATTAGGGTGTACTAAAGATTAAAATGATTAAAAACTATTTTCAAACCAACCCCTGATAAGCCGAACAAGCAGGCTTTTTTTCACAGGCTCGGTGCCTGGTACTCCTGGAAGGTCTCCGCAAGCTGGTGTGCAACTTGGTCTGGAGCAACCTCGCAACAACTACTCGAATGATTCTACTACTACATGTCACATGTCTTTGTTAATGCTGTTCATATCCGTATTCATATATTGTTATATCTATATTGTTCTGCTTATGTTGCTATGTGTATATTGTTATATTTCGGTTGCTATATTTATATTGCTATATTTGTATTGTTGTATTGGGGTATGAGTCATGAGTATATCTTGTACTATTCCACTACAATACTACTTCTCAGATGGTAACCGCAGCAATTCATAGAAGAAATGACTCCTATACGAATACAAGGACCTGAACAATATAGCAATCCAACAATATACGAATGTGACAATACAAGAATGTGGCGGTTTCCGAAATTAGGGGCACCTTTTTGGGGTCCTTTCTTTAAGGGGATCCTACTATTTGGGGTATGTATGTGTATATATATACAGATATATATATATATACAGATATATAATATATATATATGTATATATATATATATATATATATATATATATATATAGGGATCCCTTAATTTCGAAACTCCCACATAGAGTCGTGAAAGAAAGGAAGAGGCTTGACTGGGTCAAGGCACGCTTCCAGGCAGCTGCACAGGCCATACCTCGCAAAGTATCACACACGAAGGGGTACTTGGGGTTTAGGGTTTAGGGATGGTTTAGGGTTTGGGGTTTAGGGTTTAGGGTTTAGGGTTTAGGGTGTAGCAGATTTTCGGCTGAAACCTATGTTCGAAAGGACGACACGTCGTCACACAGAAGCTGCAGCTGAAGCCGTATCTTGACCAATGGGTTGGGATGTTCTCCCTTATACTAGCAGTCCTTAGTAGGGATTATAGTACCCAATAATTATCATCCCAAATTTGTCTGTTTTAGGGGGAACGTCCCAAGATTTGGGGGTTGTCGCTGACAGTCCGAACATACCGAAACGGACGGCGCCTCGCAACGATTCTGCTTTACGGGTTTGGGGAGGAGGCCCACAGGGAAATAAACCAAACATTCAGCTTGGGAAGTGCCCCCCTTCTACTACCAGTCCTTAAGAGGGATTCGGGGTACCATAATCCCGATTCAGGACTGCTAGTACAAGGGGGAACGTCCGCCTACCGCACATTTGAGACAGCCACGCCAAACACAAAGGATGACAAGCCAACCGGAAAAAATGGAAAAAGACACACACTGCAGACCTCCCGCCTCCCCCCTTCCCTCTTCCAACCCTAAACCCTAAACCCTAAACCCTAAACCCTAAACCCTAAACCCTAAACCCTAAACCCTAAACCCTAAACCCTAAACCTCCCCCCCGCCCCCCAAACAAAAATGACCCACCAAAAAAAAAGAACGGACCTCACTTCTGGAAGAGCCAAGCAGCGGTATCCTGAGACCAAGCTTGTCCTTGCGAAGGCCGGCCTCGACCTTTCTCGTAAGCAGGCAGTTGAGCTGTTGCTTGTTTAGGGTTTAGGGGTTTAGGGGTTTAGGGTTTAGGGTTTGGGGTTCAGGGTTTAGGGTTTAGGATTTAGGGTTTAGGGTTGTGGCTTGTCAAGGTTGGCATTGCCCAGAGTAGAGCTATCCGCCATACGAGACTCCTTACGTTCGAAACCCCCAAGAAGGGCTTCTGTAAAATCGGAACCCTCAAGAAGGGCTTCCTTAAAATACTCAAGGAGGGCTTCGCTAAAACAGTGGGGTTTTTGGGATCCCCCCCCCCCCCCCTCTCCCTTTTGCATGACCATGGTTTGCAGGATGTGGTTAGCCCCCTAACCCTAAACCCTAAACCCTAAACCCTGCATCCCAGACCTCGGCTTCAGGGCCTCCTACAAACCCGGACGAACTGCATCACAGAGATGTATGTTTCGAGGCTTGTGTCTTCAAAAAACCAATGGTAGGGTTTAGGGTTTAGGGTTTAGGGTTTAGGGTTTAGGGTTTAGGGTTTAGGGTTTAGGATTTAGGGTTTAGGGTTTAGGGTTTAGGGTTTAGGGTTTAGGGTTTAGGGTTTAGGGTTTAGGGTTTAGGGTTTAGGGCTGAGGGCTGAGGGCTTAGGGCTTAGGGCTTAGGGTTTAGGGCTTAGGGCTTAGGGCTTAGCGTTTAGGGTTTAGGGTTTAGGGTTTAGGGTTTCGGGTTTACAATGAACAAGATGAACAAGATTGCGAATATCCATAACATTGGTCATATTCATCATACTCACAATGTTCAGAATATTCGTACTATTCTTAGTAACTTTAACCATACTAACAAAATAACCATAAAAATAAGCAGAAGAAGAATAGTAGTAATAATAGTAATAATAGTAATAATAGTAGTAATAGTAATAATAGTAGTAATAATAGTAATAGTAGTAATAATAGTAATAATAGTAATATAATGCTAGCAATGCTCGCTCACGGCTGGCAAGGCCTGTCTTATGACTGTCCAACGTGCGAGGTGATTGAGACATCTGCCCGGAACTCTCGAGTTGCATCAGGGTTTAGGGTTTAGGGTTTAGGGTTTAGGGTTTAGGGTTTAGGGTTTAGGGTTTAGGGTTTAGGGTTTAGGGTTTAGGGTTTAGGGTTTAGGGTTTTGGCCGCAAGTGCCGCCATGGGACAGGGTGCTGCAGCAGCCACCCAGGCCATAGTGTTGGCAACACTTGAGCCATGACAACTAAGCTGCGTTGAGCAATTCAGTATCACTCAAAAGGGAACCCTCCCAGAGACTCCAAAACCCCTTAGTTAAGGAGTATACCTTAAATCATATTAGGGTTCCTATTTTAAGTTAAGGTACATTCCTTAATTAAGGGGGTTTTGGAGTCTATGGGCCCTATACCCTAAACTCTAAACCGCAAACCCGAAATCCAAGGACGATTCAACAGTCAATGAGAGGCTCACGTGCTCACTGGATATTTGGCGACCTAGCTCCTGAAAGGGTTCCTGCATGCTAGGGCTGTCTGGTGACTAGCATGGTAGTCACGAGGCAGTCTTCCTTTCAGTCCTTAAACCCTAAAACCTAAACCCTAAGCCCTAAATTCAAGCCCTACACCCCCCCCTCCCGCCTCGAAGCGCTCCGCTGTCTCACCCTCAGGAGTGCTGCAAGCATCTGCTGTCCACAGCTAAATGGGTGGTTGTCAAACTGTTTATTGCATCGGGCTTTGCGTTTCCTTTTGCAACCAGGTCTGCACAGCTGCCGGTAGAGTCAGGCTCACACAACCAGCTTCACAGTTCTCGTGACTGCAAAGGCTAGCTGCGTCGCCCGTTCCATAGTGACATCATCTAAAATGTCAAAAGCGTTTCCTAAAATTCTGAACCCTTCTCAACAAAACGAAATCATGGTCATCGTCCCTTTCGGGGTTTCCGAGGTATAAGGCTCAGCAAACAGAAGCCCCCAAAGGGAAACCCTAAACCCTAAGCCCTAAGCCCTAGACCCTACCCACAAGGGAAGGTGGCAAAAAAAAATCAGAAGGGACCATAAGCACGCAACGCAACAGGCAAAGCGCTGCATGGGTTCCTGGCTCTGCTTGCAATGGCACTGGCAGCCTGCCAGGGTTTAGCGTTCAGGGAGTAAGCTTTCGACACTCGCTCTCGCACAAGGCAGGCAAGGTTCGTTGGATTAGAGTTTAGGGTTCAGGGTTTAAGGTTTCGGCGCTTAGGGTTTTTTTGGGGGGGGGGGGGGGGGAAGAACCAATGTTTTAGGGTTACCCGGCATTGTTCAAAAGAGGCCTGGATGCAAAAGGGTTCACAAGTAAAAGGATGGGCTTATTCGGCCTTATACTCCCCATAATCAACCCTATAAAGGGTCCTTTTAAGGGGTTGTAGGGTATAGTAGCCCATCCTGGTAGGGGGAGTCTAAATTTAGGATTCATGTGCAGCGCGCCTTAGGTGTCTCTCCGTCGCCCAAGTTTTTCATCCTCAGCTGACAAGAGACACGAAAATCCGTAGTGGCATGATCTTTCTCGCCAGCGAGAGCCAGAATCACCAAGCCATCAAGATGCAAAACTGCAAGTTGCACTTGACTGAGCTGATGTGAGACTTAGGCATCACCCTTGGCTGCTGTACATCCTGGGGGAATTCTGGCACAGAACCCCCAGGTGGTTTCGCTTAAATGTCCTGCCCCGACCGCATGCTGCAATCTGTACAAAGTCCATCCAGACCTGCGGAAACATGCACGCCACATATGCCGAGCATGCGACCAATGCAGCTTGTGCGCTTGCTTGTATGCACGCAGACAGCCTGCCAATTACGAAGCCCGCTCGACAGCTCGTAGGACGCATCAGTCAGGCCTTGGCAGGAACTCACAACTGGCCTGTGTCATGTTGGTACGTTGCTTTCGGAGGGCAGCAACTGGCAGCTAGGTGCGTCTGCAGCTAAGCTGCAAGAAAACTGCATTCACGTTGTCCGCCACGCGCAGAAGGTACAAGGATGCGATGCTGCCAAAGGGCCCCCAACGTTTGGCAAAGATTTCCATCTGTGGCCGGGTGGGCATCCATGACACCTGATGCTTGCCCTCAACCCTAAACCCTCAACTCTCCCTAAGGCATCCCGACCACCTGCTGCTGAGTGGCCTCATTCTTGGCTGTTATGTGGGCTGGAGGCACAATGTTGTAGATCATCTTCATTGCACTCTGTATGGCAACATCGCCATATGGGATTCCTGGCAATGGCACATTGATTCGCTTGATTTCGCGAAACTGTCTGCAGCCGAGCTGGCGTGGGGCTCCACACCATCACATCTGGCAGTAACGCTGCTACATGAGATGATGCGAGCCCGGGGGGGGGGGGGGGGTGGACCTAATGCGATGCCTCCGGCACCGAAAGAATATTAATTTAGCATCTTAAACAGCTTTATAATCTCGATTACCTTAATTCATTGCTAACTAAACGAAACCAGCATGCTCGTTCTCAGAGGCTCCTCCATGTCGGTGGAGCTGAAAGATCAGAAACATCTCGAGCGTCCAGTCCCCAATCCCGGGCAGCTGTGTGAGCCGCTGTCGGATCTCCTCATCTGAGGCCTGCGCGCCCATGGTGCGAAGTTGTCATGGATTTGTCACTACGACACTTGCTGACACGCAGCCTGCCCAGAACAGCCCATCAAAACCTAATATGCTGGATAGGTGAAGTTCATGAACTTCGGTCCTCCTCGAAAACTTCAACGCCTAGAGTTCCATCCAGGAAGTGCTGAGCAATCTTCTGAATGTACTCAATCCTCAGCTCTCGAGCCGCAGGCACTCAACGCTTCCCACATGCCGCTCAAACAGATCACGCGGTAGTTCCAGGTTGTGATCGTCCGCGTCGAGGGCTGTGTTGGCCAGGCTGAAGTATAAAGGCAAAGGCTGAATCCATGAACCCGTTTCGCCCTGATTTCCCGGAGAAACCTAAACCTAAACCCTTAACCATGGAGTCATTTAGATTCACCCAGTTCATCATAAAGCACACTCTCGGATTGGCCAAAATCACGCGACATGACACACCCCCGCACTTCTCTTCCCACTTCTTATGCCGAAGGGGCTTCCGGTATGAAAGCTTTGCCACCTCACGGATCCTGGCAACCCGACAGAAGTGGGCCGCAACACTGAAAGGACATGAACACGCCTTGAAGGGCATTTGGTGCTGTCAGCTGTCATGAGTGGCGAAAGGAGGGTCCAGTCTAAAGTGGAGATGATCCCCCCCTAAACCCTAAACCCTAAACCCTAAGCCCTAAACCCTACGGCCCTAAACCCTAAACCCTGAACCCTCCCCAAATCCGGAGCCTGTCACACGACTCGCCAGCCACTCGCTCTGGCTCCAGTACCTTCGTATCCTTGGATCTGCCAGCCAAGGTGCCCAGCTCAAAGCCCTTTAGGGTTAGGGTTTAGGGTTTAGGGTTTAGGGTTTAGGGTTTAGGGTTTAGGGTTTAGGGTTTAGGGTTTAGGGTTTAGGGTTTAGGGTTTAGGGTTTAGGGTTAGGTTTAGGGTTTAGGGTTTAGGGTTTAGGGTTTAGGGTTTAGGGTTTAGGGTTTAGGGTTTAGGGTTTAGGGTTTAGGGTTTAGGGTTTAGGGTTTAGGGTTTAGGGTTTACGGAGCCTCTTGTCCAGCCCAGCGTCCCGGTTGCCACAAAGCCCGAGCAGCCGCTCAAACATGCCCTGGCAGACTCGCACACTCAGCTGTTGGTGGCAGACCTGGGCGCTCTGCACTCTCAAACTACTATTTGCTTAAGAACCCCCCTAATAAATATGAAATAATAATCCCTATATTGCCCTTATAAGGAATAGTATGTTCAGTTCTTCGGGGGGGGGGGGGGTTCTTCAGCAAATTGTGGCAAATCACTCGCGCAAGGGTATCAAGCTATCCATGCGTGCCATGGCTCTGTTTGAACCAGAGTCGTGAAGGGATCCGGCCTGCACCATGTAAGGAAACAGGGTTTAGGGTTTAGGGTTCAGGGTTTTGGGTTTAGGGTTTAGGGTTTCGGGTTTAGGGTTTAGGGTTTAGGGCAGCTTGGGGCATACTTAGGCCCTTGCGGTAAGGAAACACCGCCACTGCCAAAGCCAAACGTGAGTCCATACTCTCGGCATTTGGGTTTAGGGTTTAGGGTTTAGGGTTTATCCAAATGAGGCTCCCTGCTTTGGCCCCGTTGTTTTTTGGCGGCTAGGACTGTCGCACTGCCTGCCTGGGACGAAGTATGCCATTCAAGAGCGGGCAACGCGGACTCTGGCGTGCTGATCACTCAGGAAGAGTGCCAAGCCTAAACCCTAAACCCGAAAAGCCCTAAACCCTAAACCCTAAACCCTAAACCCTAAACCCTAAACCCTAAACCCTAAACCCTACTTCCCCATTCCATTTCTGCAGCCTGTCCCTCCCCAGCAGCTCGAGGATGCCGGTCGGCGGCCCGATGAGCTGAACCACGTGCCTCTGCCGGTTTAGGGTTTAGGGTTTAGGGTTTAGGGTTTAGGGTTTAGGGTTTAGGGCTTAGGGCCCCTCCTGCACAGCTGGGGCGAATCCGCATCGCAGAGGGTTTAGGGTTTAGGGTTTCGGGTTTCGGGTTTAGGGTTTAGGGTTTAGGGTTTGGGGTTTAGGGTTTAGGGGTTGGGGTTTAGGGTTTAGGGTTTGAGGTTTGGGGTTTAGGGTTTGGGGTTTATACAGGGTTTAGGGTTTAGGGCCACCTGCCTAGCAGCCTCGTTCACACTGCAGGGATGCAAACGTCCGTCTCGCATATCATCGTGTTTAGGGTTTAGGGTTTAGGGTTTAGGGTTTAGGGTTTAGGGCTCAGGGGTTAGGGCCAGATTTAGTGTGTGTTTGCTTCACTCCTGCACAGCTAGGGCGGATCCGCGTCGCAGGGATGATGACGAAGGCTACACGTTTAGGGTTTAGGGTTTGGCGTTCAGGGCTTTCACTCTACTTGCGGGACAAGTTGACAAGCTTCAAAAAAAGTCGCGTCTTTCGAACCATGACTCATTCTAGCCATGCTCTCTACACTGGCCCACCCGCATGAACCTCCAAGAGCCTAGAAGCAAATCAGGGTACCACAGTGCTGTGGGTCACAGCTCGGCCTGAACCTCTCATCGTTCCGAATCAAGTAGCCCACCTCTTCAAGTCAGGGAGACAAGGGTGGAGCACCAAGAGAGTACGGATGTGTTGAGGGGGCATGTTGAAACCGACTCACAAAAACCGCAAGAAAAAACTCTAAAAGTGCGGACCAAAGTGCGCCGAGCTGAACACTCTGGCGCGTCATGGCTCGCGGCAACTGCTGCCCAAGGTCCAAGGGCGGCTCGAGATCGATGGTGGTGCTCAGCTGTGGTGCCAAGTCTGGCAAGACGCCTCAGTGTCTTGAGAAGGCCGGCCCAACTCATCAATTCATCCGAACTCATAAGGCTCTCCTTGTGAGCCAAGTCGCCACGGACCTGGCGGAAGGCGAGCTTGTTGGGCGAGCTGCGCTTTGGGCTTTGTGCGGACGCCGCGTCCCTCGGCTGCGGCATTGGACTCGCAGCATCTGTCAACATCTCGCTCTCTCTCTCTCTCTCTCTCTCTCTCTATGTCTTGCCTCTGCCACGCGCTACAGCTGTTCCAAAGTCAAAATTCGACGGGCGCAACGTGCTCCAGGATCGTTTGCGGAAGTCTGCTGGCGTCATCCCAACTTCAGGATCCGGCTGGGATGCCTCAGGGCACGACTCCACCCGGCAAGTTGCCTCACCATTTCGGTGCAAGCTCGTTACGCCCTGCCACGCCACGAAACTACAAAGAAGAACCCTCTCCTGCGCCCGAGGTAGCCCTGGCGCCTTCTTCTTCCCTCCAGAAAGCGAACCTTCAGACCCTAAACCCTAAACCCTAAACCCTAAGCCCTAAACCCTAAAATTCAAACAACAGGGGCCTCATGCTCCGGAGCTCCGGCATCCAGTGAAGCCGCAGCTTGCGGCTTCTCTTTCTCGGCCTCCAGGAGCTTTTGATACCTTTCGCTGACATCCTGAGACAGAGCAGCTTTAGGGTTTGGGGTTTAGGGTTTAGGGTTTAGGGTTCAGGAACTCCTGATCTCCTAAGACAGAGCAGCACTGAAGGCCAAAATACGAGACTTGCTGGTAGCTCACAAAACGCGGGCGACCTGCCTGCGGACTGTCTGCATCCGGACCAGCTGTGGCCATGACGATGAGGCGAGCGATAGGCTTAATGTGCAAGCTCCAGAACGCAGCATGCTTCTGGAGGTGCGCCACTTCCTGAGGACAGTAGGCTTCTCAAGTCGTTTCGTTTAGGCATGTACGCATGTACTTCTTTGTCTCAAGAAAGCGCTCTGCGTGGAGTAGGCTGAGGTGCTGCTTCCTCATGCGTCCGCTTCCTGAGTTGAGTGCCAGGACAACCAACCGGAGTTGTCATGGGAACTGCTCTACTTGGGCGCCCCCAGCCAATCTCAGCCCAGAATCATGTACAGAATAGCACGGCATAGCCGCTCGGATGTCTGTCCAGGTCGATCAAGCCGGCCCATCATCTGCACGAGCTGGTCCATCTGAACCGGTCCTAACAGTATTTATTGTCCGCCGATCTGCCTCTCAGAACTCTCCGAGGCTAGAGCTGATCCCTAAACCCTAAACCCTAACCCTAAGCCCTAAACCCTAAACCCTACAAACCCTAAACCCTAAACCCTCAACCGATCAGCCAAAGCGCGCAAGATCAAGGCGTCGCCCAGGGACTGCAAGTTCAGCCCAGCCGAGTCCGAGCCCACGGTGAAGATCAAAAGCTCCTTTCTCAGAGAGTCGTTGAAGGCATCTGCGAACATGCAATGCTCTGCCGGGCTTCGTGCATAACATAGGGGCCTGAGTATATTGCAATAGGGTTTTGTGGGGTTATTCTGGTATAATTACAAAGGGGCCATGAGGGAGTATGATTAATAATTTTTCCGACCCCTATAGTACACAGACGCTTCAGCCGCTCCTCGCCAGTCTCAGAGCCTGGTTCGAGCACCCCATGTCGGATTAGGGTTTAGAGTTTAGGGTTAAGGGTTTAGGGTTTAGGGTTTGGGATAAGAACGGTCTTCCATCAAGATTTGACTGAAGGCGCTACAAACATCTAAGTGCAATCGAGGCAAGCCACAGCACTTTGCTAGGCGCTTTGCCTGTCTTGCCTTGTCTTCCTATGAAATGGCTTCGGTCCGTGACGTCGAGCGCGCCTGCAACTGGAGGCAGCTTCTCGCATCCTGCAGGGCATGCGTTCACGCAGGGGTTGTATGAGGGCCGGTATATGTCCAGTACAAGCTTATACAAGCCGATCACCTCAGAATGGAAACTAGAGACCTTTGTCATGCTGCTTGCACTGTCATGCTGGAATGTTGCATTGAAGAGGCCGTCACCAACTTTGATTACATTCAGGTGTAAACAAAGGCTGGCAAGACTCCACTTCTCCGTCCCCAACAACCCCCCGTACTACACCCCCCTACCCACCCCCTACTACCCCCCCTTTACTACCCCCCCTCTACTCCCCCCCCCCCCCCCCTACAACTGCCTGGCTGCGCGAACTTGTTGAAGTTCCGGCAGATGTCACAGCCCCGGCAATGTGCAGGGTGCCGCCGCCGGTAGCGCCGCGCACATCCCAAGTGGCGAACCAGGGCATCTGCCTCCCGCTCCGTGGATGCGAAGACCAAGGGCCGCCGGCCTTTCCACAGCTACAGACTGCTTGGTTGTGAGATGCAAGTGAGTATCAGCTACAAGTACGAGGAGACTACCCTAGACCTTAAACCCAAAACCCTAAACCCTAAGCCCCAAACGAATTGTTGTCATGGCCTTCGGCTCGAAGCTGCTGGGCCGTCCGCCAGATAGCCTCTGCTAGCGGCCGGGCATCGCTCTGTAGAGCGATGCTTAGCCTCGGAGGGAGGTGAGAATGGGAGCTATGCCAGTTCTGCTTCTTATATATATATACTAGTATAACAGTACTTAATTAAAAAGCATTGAGCAACAGAAGAAGAATAAGAAGAGGAGTAAAATAGCAATATGGTAATATGGTAATATGGTAATATAGTAATATCGTAATATATTAATGTAGTAATGTAGTAATGTAGTAATGTGGTAATCTAATAATATAGTAATATAGTAATATAGTAATATAGTAATATAGTAATATAGCAATATAGCAATATAGCAATATAGCAATCTAGTAATATAGTAATATAGTAATATAGTAATATAGTAATATAGTAATATAGTAATATAGTAATATAGTAATATAGTAATATAGAATATAGCAATATAGGAATATAAGAATATAGTAATATAGCAATATAGTAATATAATAATATAATAATATAATAGTATAGCAATGTAGTAGTATAGCAATATAGTAATCTCGTAATCTAATATACTAGTAGTAGTAGAATAATATTATAATTACTCATATGGGGACTGAGTGAGTAGGGCACATGTACGAGCGCAGTCAGTGCACAAAGTTACCAGGATCAGAGCGGACTTTTAGCATCGGCAGGCATTAAACCGTGCGTTGCGGACAGTCCTGAACTGCGTCCCAGCTGCACTCGCCGCATTCGACCGAGCACTTTGACAAAGTTCTGCGCTCCACGTCCACGGCATTCGTCCACCACCTTCTTGGAGGGAGTCAACAATGTACTGACGCAACTACCGACAGCTGTCTTCGACAAAGTCGGCCAGTAGTTAGCAAGGCACATGGGTCTCATGATGTCATGGCTACCCTAAACCCTAAACCCTAAACCCTAAACCATCCTAAACCCTAAACCCTAAACCCTAAACGTGCCTCCAGGTAAGAGGAGTGCACCGCGGCAGGGATGTCAAGTGGCACAAGCTTGGTCTGCCAGGTCCGCTGCGGTCGCATGTAGCTGATGAGGTAGGCGCCAAAGTAAGCCTGCACGTACCTCAGATGCAGCTGTGTTTAGGGTTTAATTAGGGCTTAAGATTTAGGTTTTAGGGTTTAGGGTTTCGGGTGTGCTTCAAGGACATGGAGGGTACAGATGGACCGTGCGTCAGCAGAGAACACTATCCTGGTGAGCTGCTCCGCGCGTAATGGGATGGAGCTTCGCAGCATCTTCAACATATCCAGAAGGTCACTGTAGTGCCTTCGAAACATGGTGCCTGAGATGAAATGTCCTCTTCAGGGGGGCTGCTGACATCGCCAAGGATTGGAAACAAAACCATTTTTTGGGATCTTGCGCGAGTGCTGGGGCAAGGCTTCTGCCAGCGAAGGAGAATGCTCCATGGTCCCAAAGCTGTCCTCCATACAGCGATCGTGAGACCAGGCGCCAAGCCGCCGTGCACTGCAATGTATCCGTGTTCTGAAGGGCCAGGCACTCATCCTAGGAAAGCACCACCTCTCACTTCGGCCTACAGCATCGGTGTTTTCTTCAACTCCAGTACACTATGCTGTGCTGTGTTCCGCAGAGGCAGAGCATCGTCTCAGGGCGTCAATCAATATAGAATCCGGACTTAAGGCCATCTGCGGGCAAGACACGGCTACAACAAGGAGCCAGGTACAGCAGAAAGGATGTCGAGCTGCTCGAGAATAGGTTGAGATCACGAAGAGGACCTCTGCATCAGTGTCGTCCTTGCCAGAGACTGCTTGGAGGCCCCGCAAGCAACCTGCGACGTGCGAACGCAAAGCGCCGGGTGTCCTCCTCGACGGAGCGTTTCCGCTTCACGGGTGAAGCCTTGCCAGGTGAAGCCTTGCCAGGTGAAGCCTTGCCAGGTGAAGCCTTGCCAGTGGCCTGTTTGGAAGGCCTCGGAGAAACCTGAGGGAAGCAAAGCAAAGCTGATGGAAGGACATGCGGATCCTTACGACTGAGGACGCAGCATCGCGCAGCACGCCGTTCTCCTGCTGCAACTGTATCCGCACTCCTTCAGGGCACATTGGCCCGAAAGCACATGTACAACATGGCAGGACACAGGAGCACGGGCTGACGCCTGCTGTATGTTGACTCAGCTGGTCCCGCCAGCCCTCCATCAGGGAGCTTGAAGCAACCAGCACGAGGAACTGGCCGCCACCATGCGCGGAGGCCAAGTGCATGCAGAAGCCTAGCCGCATTGCTAACACAGAGCAGAACTCCGAGAGGCTACAAGCTGGAATATTGCAAGTGGCTGCCAAGGAGCTCACGGCCACCAATGTTTTGCCAGCACCCAAGCTTGAGGCGTCGAGGGATCCGGTCCTTGTCACAAGAAGTGACATGGTACTGTGCTGCAGGAACTGTGTACCACGAATATTCAGACCCCGTCGCATCCTCATGCCAGCGGGTGCATTCAACAAACCCCTTCAAGGGGTGAAACATGGTGCAACAAAAACCTGTCACGGGAGCAGTGGTACGACCGGCACTTCTATGCATCAGCGAGCCATTTAAAAAAACAGACTGCCAAAATCGATCACGAGCTTCGATCCATTGTGGCGGCTCTGCAGCAGGCGCTCTGCTGCTTCTTTCTGGTACGGGAACAGCTTCGTAGTCACCTTGGCCTGGGCCACTTCAAGGCTCCTGGGATTGTACTTACAAGCAATACACAATGAACGAGGAAAGGGCCTGCAGCGGCTTTGGCCTCGTGTCAACAGAGAGACCCGAAGCACCGTGAAACGCCAGAGTTTTGACCACCTGGGCTGGTGCTCCCTGCGGGCCGCAACGTGGGTGCTGCAACAGCTACCCCCTGTCCTCTGCTCTGCGGCTGAGCAACTGCAAGCAAGTGCTGATGCAACGACCCCGTGATGTCTGAGCTGCGGGTGATGCGAAAGGCCAAGTCATTGTGCGTCGGAGCCTCAGA